CTTAATTCTCCTGTGGCAGTCCCTCTCTATGAGGGCTTTGTCACCTCCTTAATTCATCCCAGGTGTGTGCGTGTGTGTGATGGAGAGGGGGCCCTAAGCCGTTGTGCTGCGCTTGCACAGCGCTCCACGCCATGCAGCAGACAGCCAGGTAAATCCGATTACTCTTACCGCTAGTGTGTGTCAGTGCTTAATGTGCCTAAATGCGATGGCACCTGCAGCCTCACCACACCTGGCCGATGGGTCGTTAACATGGTGGCGAAGCTCTGGGAGGTGTGGGAGTCGAGCAACCACAAGAGACCGAAAGAGGGGTTTATCTTCAGGGCCTCGCACTCTGAGTAAATCTGCGCTATTCACCCAGACTTGTGATCTCCCACTCTTCTTATGTCCCTGGCCTAAGTCTCTGTTTACTCTGGTTTTAACACCCACTTCAGCGCAGAAAAGAGGAGGCACCAAGGAAACATTGCTCCTATTGTTAGCATTAGCTAATCGTGGTGATGCCTGAGTCTTAGCCGCTTTTCTTGGGCAAACACTGGATAAGAGTCCATATCCTTCTTACCACAACGCTAATACATGAGGCTTTGCTGCAGGATAAGGAGAAAGGATTGAGATGAGGATTAATGAGGGAGAAGTCTTTTTTTTTAAGATCTTTAATTGTGTAGAAGTGTGAATGCGACGCTGTGCGCTGACATCTGTTTACATTGTGTGCTGATTAGCCGGTCAGTGGTCGTGCAGCAACAGTGAGCCCACTTGCTGGCGACGCATCTCTGCTTCCTCCAAAGGGATCCTCTTTTTTTTCTTTTTTAAAGTTTCTCATCTTTCCCTTCTTTGCCAGCCTAAACACATCTATGGAGGGACTTAAATCGCGTGCTTTTCAATGGCTTTCTTACAAATGTTGAAACTACTCTGAATGGTTGATGAATGCAACCAGTGAATTTGCAAAGCTTTAGAGATGATGCTAAAGAATTTCGTCCCTGAAGTGAGAAGTTTTGTTGCTGTGTTATATCTAGTCTGGGCAGAGCAGGCACAGCAAGTATCTTCAGGCTGTGATGGATAACTATCAGTTCAATAGTCTTCGGTTTAGCTCCTTAAAAATCTAGCCTAGATCTGGCTGCAAGGGCTTAATCCCCACACACCAAAGCCTTGCTGTCCTTGACTGATCTCAGAAACCAATTGAGCTAAGCACAGGCGGTGGAGGTATGGATCTTTTGGCCGGAGGAATCCTGCTCTCTGATCCTGGTCAAAGGTGACTGCGTGGATCATACTGGCCCTGTGTTTGGGGAAAGCTACCGGGAACGCTGAGCCGTGGTGTAAAACCTGTTCCATGCTTTTATGGTTATAGGGAGAGGGGGGTGGGTGTCCAGTCACAGGGGTTAAACTCTGAACCGCTGCGCCAAGCTGATCTCAGGTCTACTCGGCCGTAGCACGCCGGCCGCTGCCCTGGCGTCATTCTGTCTGCCTCTATATCAAAATGCAGCTGACCACTGAACTGAATTAGCTGTCATCAAACTGTACGTGATCCACACAACAATGGCCCTGGCCTCGCTACAGTTAATTACAGTCCTTGGTCGCTCACTTCGTATGGACTGCACAGGGCCTTTCTATACGTGGCAGAGAGAGGAAGCACTGTGCGCTATGTATAATGTAAAGTATAAAGTGTGTGCATGTGTACGAGGAGAAAAAAGTAGCAGAGTGCTCTCACCGAACAAACTTTCTGATCTCTTGTTGGTTTAAATGTGACAACCGGCTTGGATGCAGGTTCAAACATCCCCCCCCCTCAAACAACTGAGGAGAGCCTGGGGTGAGAGGACACGTGCCTGTTTCAAGGGTAAGTGTTTGTCTTTGTGATTGTTTCAATATTGGCTTTTTGAGCGTGGTGGCATGGTGCAGTCCCCCAGTGGTGTGCCGGCACAGAGAAGCCTGGGGCACACTGCAGGCGATGGAAAGGGATCCCTTCCATCCACCTCCTTTCATCAAAAAAGAACAACATGGGCCTGTGCTCTGCCGTGGCCCCTTGGTCCAGCACACCAGGGATAATCAGATGATCCCCTTTTATACAGCTTATTAGAGGCATCTCGCACCGTAAGATAGGCAGTATTCTCACATGCATGTGCCTCTTTGTAGTTCTTGATGATTTAGGAGGGTTAAGCAGAGTTTGAAGTGCTTCAAGAATGCACTTTCATACCATCTTAAGGTCATGCGGCGCTTTTACCACAAAGCTGATGTGTGTGTGTGTGTGTGTGTGTGAAAACGGCATATCTCTGAACAGTAGCAGTTCCTATTAACAATGACGAGATTAAATGTGAAGGAGCTAAGAAGAATTAAGAAGAATTTCTAGAGGACTGAAGATGTTCTCAGTGTTTCTCAGTGCCGTTGTAGCATCATCTGCCAGTGTGTTTACCCTCTTTTCCAATGTGATTGGTTAATCGAGTCGCAGATGCAAATAGGAACAATGGCGCTTTGTCGACGGGAAAGCTTAAAAATGAAGATTTGTTGTGTCTTGTCCATCCAAAAGGAGAATAAACACTCCCTCCTGCTTACATTAAGCACCAAATTATGAAAAGAAGAAGACTAAATACCCATGAGGGCTTCTCCTCAGCTCTCCGGTTAAAGCCACAATATCACAAGATTTTCCTCTCCGCTTTGAGTTACCCCGTATTCACCAGTATGATAGAGTCCGACATGTTTCTTCTGAATCCATATCTCATCACTTTCTTTTTCATTTGCATTCCTCTCACATAGTGCCAAAGATAAGCACCCTTATCCCTCCAGCCAACAACCCGTATCTTGCTCTTGTCTCTGGAGGGTCACAAGTATATATTGTTCTACATGAAGAAGAGGCTGATGAACATAGTATAATTAAAATGTTTCTAACGGCGTGGTGAAGTGGAAGATATCGCTGGAGAGAGGAGAAAGACGGAAAGGGAGGCACGGCTGAGTATGAGGGTGTAAGTGAGACAGAGGGCTA